TCAGGATTTTTAAAACGGTACAGTTCTCTTTCCTTGTCACCATAACACTTATAATGGTTACTGAAGAGCTTAATCATTTTTCTGTCAAGAACAAAAATTTAAAAATAATATAAAAATCAAAGAGAAAGCTCCTGGTATCCTGGTTATATAGCAAATGAACTTTGCAGAAAAGCACTTTTTCAAGGATGGTATATTGAATATTGAGTGAGTATGGTTTTACGCCGCTTTTAGCAATATTCCATTAATATCACGTCGGGGGACACCAGAAATTGGCTTCACACATTGTACCCAAGTCGGGAATCGAACCCGGGTCTTCGGCGTGATGAGCGAACGCTTTAACCACTAGGCTACTCGACCGCCCCTATATTGAATATTGCAACTACAACAGGTGTAAAATAATCCTGGGTCTACTCCTGTCCGTGTGCATAGCTGGCCTGGGCAGAGACTTACAAAGCTGCCTGCCATGACTACCTCCGTCACCTGCAAGCTATTTGATGGTGTGTATTGAAGAGTAGGATGGAGCATCTGCTGAATGTTTCCTGCTTCAGATGTGGGCTGAATGTTCAGACACACACGCCCTAACTGCAAGAATCACTCACAATCTCAGACTGATTCTGTATGGAGACCTACAAGAGCTGTGAAGATAGGACAACTTTTCCTGCAATAATTGCCAGGGATGCAAAGAAACTGAGGTTTTTTATTTATGTTATCACAATATGACAAATAAGGAACCAACAATTTGATATTTTGGTGAGAGGGGCATGGGCTTTTTTAAAAAAATATAATTGTTCCAGAAAACACAGGGCAAAAGTAATTTGCCTCAGGTATCACAACCCAAAATAATTGTTGATTGTTCCTTAAGGTCATCCTAAGTTTCTTTTGGCTATTAGTAACTTCCCCTTGCCTCTTCCACACCCCAACACACAGGTGTGCCTGAAGCCACAAAGACTCCATCACATATCACCCCCACCCACACCCACACCCACACCCCCACCCCAACAAACAGGTATGCCTGAAGCCATAAAGCCTCCATCACATATCACCCCCAGCCCCACCCGAACACACAGGTATCCCAAGTCATGAAGCTTCCATCACCCCACACCCTTCCCTGCACCCGACACACAGGTATGCCTGAAGCCGCAAAGCCTCCATCACATGTATCACCCCCAACTCAAACACACAGGTATCCAAAGTCACGAAGTTTCCATCACATATCAGCCCCCTCCCACAAACCCCACCCCAAGAAACAGGTTTCCCAAGTCATGAAGCCTCCATCACATATCACCCCCCTCCCACACACCCACCCCCACCCCACCCCAAGTAATAGGTTTCCCAAGCCATGAAGCCTCCATCGCATATCACACACACAGCCCTTCCCAACACACAGGTATCTTGACCCACGAAGCCTCCATCATACTTCACACTAACCCCTCCCCCTTGCCTCTTCCCCCCACATCAACATACAGGTATCCCAAGCCACGAAGCCTCCCTGACCGCCCGCCTACACCTATCACACAGGCATTCCAAGCCACAAAGTCTCCATCTTTTATCACATTCCTGACAACTATTTCTATACAGACATACACCTCCTTTAATTTCCCGGTAAGATCAATAGTATTGGGTAGACATGTTTGCAGGTGTGGGACATTGAAGCAGTAGAACGGGATACTACAATGACTGGACTGATGACTAGTGGGATTCTACTGTTCCAGATAACGGGGAATATATCACAAACTGTATCAGGCTTGCGGAAGCCGACGTGACAGCCTTAACGATGCCATTTTTCAATCTGACTCTGATAAAGCTGTTAGTTGATACAACAATGATGGCAAGATCTGACATCCCCGAAAACCAGCACATTAGACAAGATAAAAGAATAGAATGTTCTGATTCTCAACTCTTTGGTTTCTTCCCATGAAGATTCCCGAGCAGAACAGGTAGCTGGTTATGGTTAGAGCTGACTAACAAACGAACGAATAAATGAGTGAGTGAGTGAATATGGTTTTACGCCGCTTTAGCAATAAATCCAGCAATATCATGGCAGGGGGAGACCAGAAATGGGCTTCACACATTGTACCCATGTCGGAAATTGAACCCAGGTCTTCAGCGTGACGAGCAAACCTTTAACCAGTAGGCTACCCGACCGCCCTTCGAATAAACGAACAAGCCAGAGAGTGCGTGAGTGATTAAAGGATTGACAGTGTTTCAATTCTATCCCTGTTTCAGCTTAACCTCTTCATGTTGGCAGTGAGATGAGGTGTAATGGGGTTTAACGTCGCGTTCAAGATTGCTGCACTTATATATATATATAAAGACGTGAATGCACGTGTGCGTGACTGCTTGTACTAGTCCGGACAAAGGCTGAATTTATAGTCCTAACCCACTGAGATACCATGCCGCAGTTTAACATGAATACCTCACTCAGAAAAAGTATACTGACTCCGAGCCGACCAATCCTTTGTTTTAGCCCTTTAATACCAAGAGCCAGGCAGGGTAACAACAAGTACCATTATTTATCGTATTTTGGTATGACACGGCCAGGGATCAAACCCGACCTTCCGCTCTCCGGGCGGACACTCTGTAACCACAAGACCACGGAGGTGTTCTTTTGTTGGAAGCCATGCAGGTCTTACACGTTCACCACTAGGGTTAAAACTACAAGCATGGTGCTGACAAACCAAGGATCAAAATCAGGGCAAATCTTGGATTCGAACCCACAACCTATGGATCCTGACACGTCTAAGGTACATAACTCTGAACAGTGAATGGCAGTGCTAAATGACAAAGATGATAATGTGTTATTTTATCAAAATGGTGTGTATAGTTGCTCATGCTATCAACCACTAGACTTACTAGTATGTCTGTCCAGGCTTAATTGGTTACAGGCAAATAGAATATGTCTAACTTAGGCATATAACAAACTTCACTCTCACGCTGTCTCCTGTTTGAGGTGCAATATGGTAGCTCCATTGTTGATGTGTTTGCGGATATCAGAAGAAGGTTCAGTTCTGCATATTCCAATGAATGAAAACTGATCATTTGAAACTTCATCATAAATCAACTTGGATGTTTCATAGAATATCCATAAAAGCCATCATGTAGAGATACCACGATATAAAAGAAACATGTCTCAGAATACGGTTTTCCATTTTCAAATCTTTGAAAAATCAATCAATCATCAATAACAATGTTACCATGGTAACAAGTTGGATCCAAAAGATAACAGATGGCCTCAACTGAATGTCACCTCTCCATCTTCTGGAAACAGTTGATCTGATAATGAATGTCAACGTCAGCACAGAACATGAACTTGCATCCTACCCTAACTCTTCAAACCGACAGAATTTGGAATTTATGAAAGTAAAGTTGATACAGATTGATCTGAAATGGACTTCATCAACCAAGAAAGCCATTTCCCTGAAACCACAAGGAGTGTCTCAGATGGTCACTCAATATATGGTTAATGAGACAAAACCTGTCAGGTTTCCACATTCCCAGGCACAGCCTGACTACAACAGTCAACATAAACTGCTTGAAATACAGGTTCATCTTTAAACAACATCACATTTACTTCCTCCTTGATTAATGTCAGAAGATTCATTATAACAGATTATTTCTTCTAGGAGAAAAGAAAAAACTGATGTCACAGTACACAAATCGAAGACATGAAAATAGCACCTTCATAATCCTAAATATCAATTTTCCAAATTATTTTGATAAATGTTGACATTAAGTTCATTTCTTGATTCCCATGAAACGCTGTCCATCCACCTTCTAAGGAGTCTTTTAGAACAAGTCATATTAGAAGTGGAAGCAATGCCCAAACTATTTTCTAGCATGATCGAAACCCATGGCCAGAAAGGAAATACCATTGTAGACTTCCTGAAGTCCTACAGGACGTCCTTTGAGGACATATCAATTAGTTGTAACGATTAGTGGACACATAGAAATTAGTTTCTAACAAGCCAGCACCCACACCATCTGCATCCAGAGAATGTCCCAATTCATTGATTTCCCAAGAACACGGCAACAGCAATGCTTATAATCAGAACTTAATCAATTAATTGCACAGGCGCATCGTTAATGGCCTTGTAATTTACCATTCTACCTGAAGAAGGTAGTTTTGTAATGGCTGAAATCTTGCTGTAGCCATGGGCTTCAAGGTGAACTTGGCTACATGCTACATTGCTACAGTGTGCTGTTGATTTAGGATATTGATCTGGTTGAATTAAGCAGCTTGTAGCTGTGAGTTGTTGTGTATTAAGGAAGTAGGCAGTGGAATGATCGATGATTCTGGTCATGGGAGACTGCCACTAGGGTCTGTTGGGTGTAGGTGGATCTATTCACCTGACAAGTGGTGGAGTTCTCACAGGATAACGGTATAGATTGGAGGGTGTTTTATATCTATTTTAGATCTCCCATTTTTAAGCAAAAAGAAATAAGAGGCTTTCAGGAGTAAAACTCCAAAACCATTTTCAGGTTTTCAGATTCAATAATTAAGGGGATTTTCGGGTATCTAGTCACATTGTGATAAAGGAACACGTCAAGGTGATGTGATGTGTATACAGCTTGAAGAGACTGAATGGTGTGTCAACACATCGAGGAGATGGGATGGTGTCCGAACACCTTGATAAGACAAGATGATGTCTGAACACCTTGAGGAGATCTGAAGATGTCTTCAACATCTCGATGAGATCTGAAGGTATCTCCAAAACCTTGAGGAGATCTGAAGGTATCTCCAACACCCCGAGGAGATCTGATGGTATCTTCAACATCAAGGATATCTGAAGGTATCTCCAACACCCCGAGGAGATCTGAAGGTATCTTCAACACCTCAAGGATATCTGAAGGTATCTCCAACACCTTGAGGAGATCTGAAGGTTTCTTCAACATCTCGAGGATATCTGGTGGTTTCTGCAACACCTCAAGGAGATCTGAAGGTATCTTCAACACCTTGAGATTGACTTAACACAGATGAGCACTGATCTGCATGTACTTACTATTCTGTGACCAAGATGAGTTCTGACGGTGTTTCATACACCTCGAGGAGATCCACTAATCGGGGATGAGCTAGGGCAAGTTCAAGCATCACCACCTCACGTAATATTTCTTCTCGACAGCTCTTGCCCTTCCGCCGTTTTCGGATAAACTTGGCAGCCACAGTATCCCCAGTTTCGTTGTTCACACATTTTTTCACCACAGCAAATTTTCCTCTGAAATTAGAGACAAAATATGATAATGGCTACATGTAAATATGTACAGTATTGGAGATAATAACTTAAATCAAACTCAAACGTACACATACTTTGTGAAGATCTGTGTCTCAAGGCCAAGGATAATGTACCTTTTTATCAGCTAAAATGGACACGGTGCAGTGTGTGAAATAAAAAAACTGCCATCACGACCCACAGATTTTAGAAGCTGCAGTCCTTGACTAAACTCTTCAGGCCCTCATTTATAAAACAGTAGCATATTTTGACAAATAACTCCACTCGAAAATCTGCTACATGCCTTAAGGACCCATACAAATTTGAAACTATGGGCCCCACACGATTTCTACCTGCCACGGGCCTGTGGTCAGGCGCTAATTTTGAGCACTGACTTGGTGGGGATTTTTTTAAACTAATATTTCTTTTTGCAATATTTAAATTTATGTTAGTTGCAATATTGATTAAAATTGTAGGTCAAAATAGCTACAGCAACATCTGTAAATTAGGTTAGGCACACCCTTCAGATCAAATACCCTATCACATCCCTTAGGGTCAGAAAGCCCTTGCCAGTTAAACTGCCCTTTTTGATACTTAGGGTTAGGTGCCCCTATCCGATCCTTAGGGTTAGTTAAGTTGAAGCAAGGGTTAGCTGTCTTGCCTCAGGTCTAATCAATCATCAGCCTAGACATTACACTGGAGGTGACAAAACATGTTGGGAATCAAACCCAGGCCTTAGCGCGATGATCGAGCACAAGGCTACCCCTAGGCTATATTATATGGTATGAAACAAATTGAAAGATAATCATTTTTGACAGCATGTTGACAAGTTCTCAAGCCTTTTCATCACTTCAAGCTTTTGCTTTGTGGTTAGCCTTGGACATTTGTCTTTTTGAGGACTTGTGTTTCGCCAGTCCTCAATGTTTGTAGATAGTCCTGCTTCAACAAACCAAAATCTTTACAATGAACATATTTTCTGTCAGTTATATTCAGTTCCAATTTGAGTGAGTGAGTGAGTGAGTGAGTGAGTGAGTGAGTGAGTGAGTGAGTGAGTGAGTGAGTGAGTGAGTGAGTGAGTGAGTGAGTGAGTGAGTGGGGGGACACCAGAAATGGGCTTCACACATTGTAGTTCCAAGTCATTCAGAATTATAGCCCTCAAATGCTACTAGTCAATGACAGCTACCTCTACCAATCTATGTTTAAGAAGGATGTTTATAGTAATCATGACGAGGTGTACCCCAGCAGCCCTGCCAGCATATGAACTGAGGAAAAATGTCCATATCAACAATAATCACAACAATAATCATATTACATCCTTAAACCCATATCTAAAAAAAAACCACCATTAAAAGGGTGGTAGAGTAGCCCAGGGGTTAAAGCGTTTGATCGTAATGGCTAAATGCTAAAGGCTCGGGTTTGAATCCCCACATGGGTACAATATGTAAAACCCATTTCTGCTGTGATATTGCTGGAATATTGTTGAAAGCAGAATAAAACCACATTCCGTAACACAAAACCATTGTATCAAAGCATAACATCAAGCGATGTATTTAGTTCCAAATTCTAATAAATAATAACCAAGTGACCACAGCTTATTCCGACATCGTATCCTGATAACACAGCTATCACATAACATGTACAAAATCATAATGGATGTTTATATTTAGATGAATACGAGGCTATTATTACATCAGGCATACAGAGGTATACTGGTTCATGCCCTAGACACAATGTTAGAGTTACACTCCTCGAGTCGTCCTCCACACAGACCCATCGGGAGGATGTGTTACACAGTGACTCACTCATGGCAAAGGTTGCATGTAACCTGCGGGCTAGACATATTTTGTGACCTATATTTACTGCTATCTGGTTAAAAAATACATCAATACTTTTTATCTCTGTATGATTATAATCATTACCAGCAGGCATTAACTACAACAAAAGCTGTCTTGATAGAGAGTATAAGTGGAGTTCCCTTATATTTGACACTCAGGGACTTTAATACATATGCTATTGCTAATTATTCCCTCTAAATTTTGTATGTTCACAATATTTTGACACTGCTGTGTAAAAAGAATTGTATTCAGGGTTTGAAATCAAGGGTGAAAGTCAAATAATTATAAATATTAGACTAAAATTACTGAGTCTTTGAAAGGGATTTAGAAGTGATACACACAAGGAAGAGAATTTATGGATGTCAACTTCTTTATTATGAGGAAAAAATCGTTTCGGAGTATGAACTTACTCCTTCATCAGATGAATAAATGCTTTCTGCCTTAGATTTAAATACTAAAGCCAATGGTCCACAAGGACCCTCCCCATAATTTATTACACTGGTTTTTCCAACACTCAAATTTCCATTTTTACCGTTCATTTCAACACTTTCAGTTTTAGCAGCTGAAATATTGGTGAATAAGCGATATTTGGTAATTCATTCTCAAACGCACATACCGTGTTCGACGTAATAAGTGCCCAGGGCGCTCTCAAAATTAGAAATAGGGGGCTCTTATTAGAATATTATTTTGGTGAAAAAAAACTATTAGAATATTATTTTGGTGAAAAAAAACAGAGTTAAAAGATAAAGTTCGTGGTGTATGCTGACGGCCTGAAATGTTTATATACGACAGATATATTTTTGCAGAATTTATTTGCCCATAAAGGGTGCATATAACACACAAGTGCGTATTATACGCGAATAAATAAGTCTTGTGTACATTGATCAATCGGAAGGGGTGCTAATTGGGTTTGTTCACTAGCCAACATATTAGCAAATATCGCCGTGGGCGCTTATTAGAGAGGGGCACTTATTACGTCGAATACGGTATATTCCAACTGCAACTTATTCTTTCATTAAACTCAAGGACATTGTACGCTACCTTCTGACCTGGATCATATTTAATATTGTTTACAACATTTCCAAGGCCTGATCAAGGTGGATAAATCATACACAGACTTGTACAGCTGTGTGCTGTAGGCTATTTCCATACATCATTATGTATCAATAATCCCTGACAGGCTTAAAGCCAGGTGTTTAACTATTCACCTCAACACATGCTAAACCTGTTGACCATCGTGCCGTTGTACCATACAATCTTAGCACTACGACTGTCGTGAGTCTCTGTTAAGGTTTGTTGTTTGTTGTTTGTTGTTTAACGCCAAACTCAGCAATATTCCAGCTCTGTGACAGCAGTCTGTAAGTAATCGAGTCTGGACCAGACAATCCAGTGATTGATATCCTGACCATCGATCCACGCAATTGGGACCGATGACATGCATCAACCAAGTCTGAGAACCTGACCACCCGATTCCGCAAGTCGCCTTTTACGACAAGCATAGTCGCCTTTTACGGCAAGCATCAGGGTTGCTGAAGACCTATTCTTCCCCGGATCTTCACGGGTTCTCTGTTAAGGTATGGGAGTTACGATCACCCTAGCGATCTGTTAAGGTATGGGAGTTACAATCACCCTAGTGCTTAGTTAAGATCGCTTTGTACAGCGGCACCAGGCCGTACACCAGACCAGCAATACAAACTAACAGTTTTAGTCCACTAGTCCTTATAATGATAACATATAACAAGCCCCTTAAAAAGGGCAAATTTCTGCTAGTCCTCAGGATACCTTAACTATTGGTCAGTTTGGCAAGGACTTATTACAAGTGCCAATTTCTAACACTGCCAGTCTGTTGTAGAAGTATGCATATTACCACCAGCTATACAGAACAAGTTTCAACAAGCTGATGATGGAAGACCTGACAAGGAGCAATCGATCAAAGATGACGGAGACATTATGATGCAGTGTTTGGCAATGACAAGAGACACTAAACTCACGAATCAGCCATTTATCCTGCTTTATTCGAAGCGTGCACACATGAAGATTTATCCAACCATATGAGAGATAAGAAAGGTTGCCTTTACTGGATTGTTTTCTGCAGCTTTGTCTACTTGTTCATGTATTCCTCAAGAAATAAAAATAGCTTCTTGTATATATTTGACATGATTATTGATTTGAGAGTAAATTACTTTTCCATTTTTTTATGACCACCTTCCAAAGTATTTTTTTAACCTTTCTAACCATCGATGTTTTGGATGTGTTTATACATGTTGTTTTATGACATTCAGCAATAGTCAAGCCTTACATCTGTCATGTCTGTAAGCGTGGTAAATAATATGGTCTGTACCAGGAAAACCAGTGGTTGATAACATGAGCATCTATCCACAGGATCTTCATTAGTCAGTTGTCCCAATTTACGTAGATCAAAACACGTGAAGATACGGGTTAGAATTGATCTTCAGCAACCCAAGCTTGTCATAAGAGGCAACTGACAGGATTGGGTGGTCAGGCGCGGTGACCTGATGTATGTCATAGTATCCCAATTGCGTAGATTGATGCTCGTGATGTCAATCACTGGATTGTCTGGTCAAGACTAGATTATTTACAGATCACTGTCATATAGCTGGAATATTGCTAGGTGCAACAAACAAAAAACAAAACGTAGATTGATGTTCATGATGTCAATCACTGCACTGTCTGGTCCAGACAATGATTATGATAGGAATAGAGCATTGAGGATCGAACTCCCCTGTCAACAGGACTGTACACTTTACTACAGACATGGTTGCTCAATGGAGTTATTGCTGGGGCCCAATCAATGATCAGACCATGGCATTACATCAGAGATCACCCAAACAAAATCACCTGATCAAATCAACGATTCAAGATGCAGTTTCCACACTGCTTGTTTATTTTTATAAATTAAGGCTGTCATTGGGTTTTATTTCACCTCTCCAGCTTTAACTGTCAGAGGAATCCATGTTGCATCATGAGGCCCAGCTATGTCCAGTCTCAACTCAACACTAACATTTGAAACTTTTAATAGACGGTGTACGGATATCCTCTATGACTAAGCTTCCTGTATGCCGGTCTCGATACAAGCATCCCCTGACACTGTACTGCACGTAATGCCAGGAGGTCGATCTCCCCACACGTCACTGACTGACCTAATCTCCA